TTCCTTGTGCAAGAGCACTTAGCATAAAGAAGGTATTTAAAATGCTGGGGAATCGGTGTTGTGCTTAATCCAGCACAGAATCCCCATCTGGAGTAAAAACGATAGCATTGTAGGAGAAACTTGTTCCAGCTGAGAGCCATTTCCTGACTGATTGTTTCTGCTACTTCGGAGCTCACAAACTTACTTTCCCAAGAATTATGTGTGTGTATATATGTGTACACCAACTTGGTATATCTTTCAAGAAATTCCGACTTATCTCTGTAAGAAAATAGACAAATGTAATATTTTTTCGATCTTATAATAGGTTAGAGACTCATTTGTAGCGGGGAATTATTCCGCAAGTTGGGAGGAGCTAAGGTGGGAGGAGTAAGGAGAGGAAGAGGAGGAGTAAGGGGAGGAAGAGGAGAAGGAAGAGGAGGAGTGATGGGAGACAGAGAGGTAGGAGGATGGAGAACCACGCTTGGACGCAGAGCAGTCCTGGGTAACAACTTATATCTAGGTTAGTTAATTGGTTAACAATTCTAATTATGTAAACATCTTGTTATTGAGCATTACCAAACGTATAAAGCCTTTGGTTAATCATTAAGCATTAAAGTCTCATTTTATACTGGGTACCTTGTGGATGGCAGGATGGTCTGGGCTTAGCCCAGCCTTGTGGAGACAGCGTGGTAGATTGGCAGAGCCACCTCCCACGCTGGCATCTTGTGGATGAAAGGGCCAGTGTTTCTGGCTGGCCGTTCCTAGCTGTGGTACGTGCGTAGTAGCCTCTGGCTATTTCTAGCTGCAGTGTGCACATGGCCTCTGGCTGCGGAACATGGCAACTGAGCTAAGGAGAGGCACCACTGCTTAGATAGTCGGTCCAAGAAAACGCCGTTTTAAATATCTCCTTCAACACTCATTTATGAAGATAAAAATTGTCAATGTTCTTTTTAGCAAAAGGAGACTTATACCAGGTAATTAAAATCTTTTCAGTGTTCTTCTGTATTGCCATTAGGAGGGTGTGTGTGTGTGTGTGTTCACACATATGCCTGCGTAGTTATACGTATGTGTGTGTGTGTAAATATATATGCATGTAAACACATATATTACTGTATACTGCTTTTATAGGAGAAAACAAACAAAATCTTCCTATTTTGAAAGACTTATCATAGACTGTGTGTATGTGTGTGATTTGCAAATAAATAAATGGGTATTTGCAAGATACAAAAGTTCCACAGTGGGGCTGGTGAGATGGCTCAGTGGGTAAAAGCAAGCAGCTGAAAGGGCTGGTGGTGGAAACCTGATGACTTGATCCCTGAGCTCACAGTACAAGGAGAGAACTGACTCTTCCAAGTTACCTTCTGACCTCCACCCAGATGGTGTGGCATGTACACACCCCTCTCCCACTCTCTCATGCAAGCATACACACACACACACACACACACACACAGAGGGACACACTAAATGAAAAGAAAAAGGAAAAGTACCACAGAGGAAGTTCATCCTGAAAGACCCAGAAATGGCGGCTAGAAAGAACTGTAGAGGACCGTCATTAACTGTGAGAGGTCAGGGATCAATGGCTAGGGTCAGATGATTCTACACAAAGAACCTGAAACCTTGATGCCTGCTGGATGGTGACTTGGAGATGGACAGATGACAGGGCAGAGAAAGGCTCAGGTTTCAAAGGTTACAGAGGACAGCTGCTGGTGGCATAGGCTGCTCCATTCCTCATGTGGTACACTCTGGACAGGGAGCCACGTCCGAGCACGCACACAGTGTGTCGAGGCTTCTTGTCACCTCAAACCTGTCTTGAGAGATCAGTGCGCTCTCCCCCCCCACCAGTTTTTATCTCTGATGTTCTTCAGATCGTCACACCATCACCCAACATGGCAGAAGTTCATCAGCTTCAGGGAACCATGTCCTTCCCACTCCTCTCTCCCTGCTCCTACCTGATGGGCATGAGTGTAGATGGGGACCAGACACTTAGGATGCGGCTGGTCCTCACTTTAGTCTACTGTAAATAGGAGACTGATCTTAGTACAGAAAAAGATGAATAGGAATAAAATGTAAAGCACCATTAATCTCAAATGGTACTATTTTGGACTTACTGTATTATGTAATATATACCATGAGTATAATATATATTATATTATATTATATTATATTATATTATATTATATTATATTA